TGTAGACCTAGAGGGGAGAATGGAGTCGAGGCCGCCAATCAGAGGCTCAGAAAATGATTTTAAACAACCGTACGGGCCGGCCCTTTACCAGAAGAGTGGACGCCGCTAGGAGAAGAAAATCAAAAGCCCAATAAACCTCCAACATATCATTGTTGGTTATAAAAGGGGGTGTGAAGCGTTTGCATTAAAACTATACCACCATTTGCAGCGGGCATCATTGCGGGGTGTGCAGTAGCGGCCATGGTTGGAGCTAGCGCGTTGGCGGTTACTGTTTGGCGCAAAAGGAACCGGCAAGGAGTACCAGAGGATGGGGAAACGCCAGCAAGGACTATCTTAATTTAGGTTAGGCCTTGAAGCTGACGTAGTACGGTGGTTGATGTTATTTGCCTTCCATTTTGCAAGGATACTAGCTATAGTTCGAGACATTCGGCAGATAGTCCCGAGATCAATCATTATTTCTACCAATACAGGTTAAGTGAGCACAGATTAAACAACGTACGGTGACAACGCTGTACTGTATGTAGCTTGATTACGCCCACGAATCGGAGTTGTTTTCTAAGGTGTTTTTTAGATTAGAGCAAATACCCTGGTAGCCAGACAAAAACTAGATACAACATATAGTACATGGCGCGCGAAGAGAAGCTATAGTATGGGCGGACAAGCCACAACTAGCCGCGCAGATGCACCACGTCGACAAAATGTGACTCATACTATATGAGGGCACATGAACGAACTCCATGCCATACGCATGCTCATGAACACAAAGAATGCTAACTGTTGGAAAATAAGAGCACGAGAAGCTGTAGAGCCTTCAGCGCTTTGCCTGTCCAAGATCTCAAGTAGAAGGATCGAAGCTTTCGTCCAAAATCAAGTCATGGCACTGGGCGCCCTTTTGAACGTTGTGGTTTAAAACGTTGTACTGCGTAGCCTGGCAACGAGCAAACCATGTGTTTCTGTTGGCCTTGTGTTTTTGTTATAGGTTTGTTGACTATCAATCTACCTGGGATCTACCTGCCTTCACTGGCAAGGCTTGTTCCTATCTGGCGGCTAATGAGGCTAGGCATAAGCTAGCTTGCTTTTCCAATCGGGCAATAATCATTACCTCCTTCTAAAATGGTCTGCATGCCGCCCGGGCCGTTTTGAAAGTTTTGAGAACGGCTTTTTCTGCCCGCTTATTCTAACGCGATCACACCGTTTTGAAGCGGTTAGCACCATCCTCGATTCCTCGTGCTCCAGTGAAGATCACGTGGACCGACTGTCACTTGAAGCATGCAGTGGTAGTCTGAACATTTTCTTCTGCGCTCCCGCTTCCACGTTCCCTCTGTACGCCACCTTTCACGCTTCCAGACGGGCAGTGCGCACTGAATGCGCAATCCACAGGGGTCCGAGTAACCGACGTTCAGCCTGAAAGTGTCATGATGCAGACTTGTCACCAGTCAGGATTGACTGGACCTCGAACATATAAACCAGCTGCCTGCGTGCCGAGTCTTGCCCGGGTACTAAGGCGGTTCCCCATATCTTCGTGCTTTTGAAGATGACGTGGGCTGACTTTCACGTGAAGTACGTCAAACACCTCTGATCACTTTCGTCCACGGGCCGGCGTGCTTTTGCATAACCGTTCTTTAGTCAGCAGGGCAGACTCATGATGGTCACCGTGACAGCGCCATCCAACGCGACGTCGACCGTTGGATGCAGCTGATCGAGGTTGGGCAGGCGCGGTGGTGCGCCGGCGTGCATTTACGTGAGTACGGTTTGACAGTTGATATTTCTTTTCTGTACTTGCGACGTACTTCAAGCTCAGCTGACCTTGATGTTTTGAGCAGGCGTCGGCGGCTGCGGGGAACATAGAAGTAGAATATGCCGTACCCTCTGTGTCAGACTTTGACGGTTAAAGTGTACAAAAGGCTTGACTTTCAGCAGTCAGCATGTATGTATGTTTGAGGAGACGTTGCACTGCTCATGTACTTACCTTACAGTCATCATGTGATGCTTCAACTTCCTTCAAGGGGCGACAGACGTACTCGTGCTTGCATTCCAAACAGAGACTTCTTCTACGAGTTCCAAGACCACCCACATGAGTGACTCAGATCCCTCATGAGCCCGTGATCTTCCAACCAAAGGTTGTCTTCCGTTCTTCATCAGAGACTTGTTTACGTTCAACCAGCCGGCTCAGCAGCAGCTTACTTTTCCTCTGCCTCGCAATACCTTCACTCAATCGACGCTCTCCCAATGGCTTCAACACTGAGCGAGCGACGGCTTGCACCTCTCATGCTTCTCGTTCTGACTCTGGTGGTTCATCCTGGCCGCTTTTGCTTGGGGCAATCGGACCCCAACAACTCAACTAGTGCGCCAGCACCAGTCATTTCCCCTAGTACTGCCAACGTCTCCGTGAATGAGAGCATATTTCCAACAGCGCCGGAGGCGGCACCCTTCTGGCCTCCGGTGGGAAACAATGCCTCTGGCAACTTCAGCCCATCTACGCCTACCGCCACGGCTGGTGCGACCCTGCAGTCGGTCGGCTCAATGACGACGAAGTCATTTGCTCCCTCGACTTTCACCAAGATCTCGATGCAGCCTCTACAGGGCAGCAACAAGGCGTGCACGTACAAGTTCCAGTTCCAGGTTGGCCTCTTTACCCCGTTGCATACTAAGCGGATGATTGAGCTGATCGTTGTGTCCCGATTTAGTACGTACTGTATCTGCATTGGCAAGCCCTCAGTCCAGGGTATACCCAAGAAAGCTGATCTCTAAGACGAGCTAGGACATTGCAGATTATTTTCTGATTGACAAGAATCATCAGTGGGCTTCTGTCCCTCTCTCCGAACACTCCAGTGCCAGTTGGGCTTGCTTTTAATTATTGTTTGATGGGGTCGTCGAGGAGTATGCAATGCCTTAGCAGTTTTCGTCAGTTCGGCCAAATGAAGTGCAAGATCAAAGCACCCAATATGGACTTCACGTCTCTGAAGATTGCGCAGGAATGCAGTGGGAGCAGAATCACCACACATTCAAATGTTGATCAGTTTGAATGTACTCGCAATTATCTGCTCCAGAACGCTGCTTCGATAGTCTGATCATGTCATCCCTAGAAGTGAAATAATGGCATCATGCTTTCAGGAAGTCTCTACACTGGAAGCTCGGCCTTTAGGTCTTCTTATAACCCCAAGCTAGTAGGCTTACCCCTCAAGCCTGCACCCGTGTCAAAGAGACCTGATTTGGGAAGACAGCACTTGACTCATGTCGCTGATATACATTGTTTTGAACTTTCAAAGGATGCACTAAAGTCGACTGTAAAATGCTCCGGTCTTTACTACAGGTGGCAGATGACTCCAACCTCGAGTACTGGATCACATCTGGGTCATTGTGCAACGCAAACCCTCCTACCACCTACGATAGCCACGCAACCTTTACTTCAAACGATGGCCTACTCTTGAAGTCGGACACTATATTCAATGGTAGAGATGGTGCTTGTATCATCTTCAAATGCAACAACAATTATTGGTATAACCAGTACTGCCAACTGAACACCTACGACATGTCCTCGGAGACCAAATGCGATTCTTCCTGCCCTCAAAGCACCAGGTAAGTGAGGCCGAACCTTACGTGTTTGGATTCGTGTGACTAGTTCGTATCCCTTGCTCTCGTCTTCAATTGCCCAACCTACCGTCCAACGAAAGACCCCGGGGTTGCACTGGCAGTTATCCACGTTCAATGTGGAGCCCAGAAAAGAATGCGTGTGAGTGAAGTAGAGCGGGCTTGGTGCTAGACTAACTAATTTCGTCCTCGACCTTGACAAAACTCTCATATGCCAGATCGGAATGGTCAGACCTGCAAGAAGAACTTATTTATCTGGTTTTCAATTGTCGACAAGACTGTGAGAAAGTGAGATCTTGACACCCCAGTACTTTCGACAAGAGAAGTATCCTTCAGCTCGGTGCAAGATTCAGCTGACGTTTAACCTTCCTAACTCGAAGAGGATGAAGATTGCATGTCGAAGTTCGCTATTGAGATTGATTCTGTCACCGCTGTTTCATTCTGACCGCAGCCACGTCTTTGTGGAGTCTTCCAACGGTTGTGGTTCTTTGGCTTTTTCAGTCGATACACTAGAAGAATCCTTGTCCGGCTTGACCTTGTTCGGATTCCTAAGACTTACTGGAATCCCCTCGGGCTGTCAAAAGACGTTGCTTTCTTAGGACGTCTTGACTCTTTCTTACCGTCTAAAACATGATTGGCTGGGAGCAATGGCGTATGTTGGCCGTGTTTGAGTTTGTTGCGGCTTTGCTAGTTCAGCTCCGGTTAGGCTATTGGCGTGCATGCGGCAGTACTGGAAAGGTCATTTTCTCGACTCCAAGCCAAGATCAGGGGGCCTCTCTCTGGACCCTAATTGGATGATTCGAAGCAATTACCTGTCAAACACCAAGCCAGCTTGCAGGTCATGATGTTTCCACCGACCAACGACGTTTTGGTTTCTTGACGTCAGAGTTGCGTTTTCTCTTGACAGGGAGCGCCCGATCCATTGGGTACTTTACTTCCTGCGCGCGAGACAGCCCAACTTCCTGTAAGACAGCACACCGGCTCCGTTTCAAACAGAATTCCACGACCTTGCCTTGCAGTTCCTACATGGGCGATGGCGGCCAGAAGGTCACCATCAACTCGGCCGACTACTATCTGTCTCGCCGGGCGGCGCAGGGTCTGAGCCTCGACCTTGGGAAAATATGGACAGGCAAAAGCCTGTCAACGGTTGCTGCACAAATCACCGTATCCGACTACGGGTATAGTCAAAATGCGCATGGCGTCTACCTCCCTAAAGTAGGTGCCCCGGGGACCTACTGGTGCGGTTCAGGCAACATGGGAGCAACCTCCTGCAGCCTTAGGGCGCCCTTCACTGCCTCCGACCGGGTTTCCGTCTCTTTGAACTCTGGCGGGTCAGTCGTTGTCCCTGGAGGCGCCGTTGACTTTAACACGGTTGTGCTGAACAATATGTATTACAATCTGTTCACGGGCTACGGGAGCTCGGACGGCCAAGTGTGGATGTACATTGGCGTTTCCTGCACTAGCAGCTCTAACGACGAGTGCAGTCTTGTCCCGGTCTCGTGTCTCAACAGCCCCCCGGTCTACGTTCCACCGCCGACAAACGCCCCGGTTTATGTGCCACCACCCACAAACGCCCCGGTTTATGTGCCACCACCCACAAACGCCCCGGTTTATGTGCCCCCGCCCACATATAATCAGCAGCAGCCAGCTGTCAACACGCCGGCGCCCTATTGGTCGAGCAATCCAAGTCCGCCTCCCACCAACCAGCAGCAACAATATCAAGGCAGCAGTGTTACTGGAGCGGGAATCATCGGCAGCTCCGGTGAGAACCGCAGCAACCTCCTCCTCCATGCAATCGGCCAATCAGATCTGATTAGATTGATATCGTGAATTCAACGCTGATGATTGTGCAGTAGTCCAAAATTCAAACGGCTGGGCAGCTGACTGTGGAGTGCCTCTCTGAAGTTTGGTTCGGGAGGTCACAGAGGTCGAGAGAACACTAAGGTCCGGTAATAAATTGCTTTTTCCGCCTAATCTGCAGGAGCTGGGGAGTTTGCTCAGCCAAGCCTACATCAAATCTTGGCTGTTTTCGCGGCAGCACAGGTGCTTCTGGCGATCTTGGCTTAACATCCTTTTGAAATTCAAACTCGGTAAGCAAGGCTTTGATTGTTCACCGGTGCACACGAAGACAACTTGAACGGGGCTTGAACGACCGATTCTGCATTTGCTAGGCCAGACATAGGACCAATGATTAGCAGCAACTAGGGAGCCACTTTCCGATCAGCCTTTAGCGACCACCGTGTAATACTTCGAGAAAGATGCTAAAGGCCGAGCAGCCGCGTGCGCCATTAGACGTTGGTTCAGATGGATATTATTACAACATGCCTTTCTCGACTGGCCGCCAAAGGGGTTTGATAGACATACTGGTTTATAAGCAGCAAGTGCCACGACTTCATCTATGTACCATCCTGAGCATGCATAATTGCAACGATCAAAAAGCTATATGACATGATAACTCGAATGAACGGTATAAGCTGAGCAAAACTCTGTGTACGGTCACATACAATCACTACTATACGAGCAAGTCGCCGATCTGAATCTGACTCAGCACTGAAGTCTTGCACTTATCATATAAGTGCGATCAAATGGATTTTGGAAGCGTTGACTGCAAATGAAGTAAGCAAAATCTCCGAATCCAATTAAGTCTCGCTCGTATAACTTGGCATGCACACTTTGTTGAGTCGTTCTCCAAAACTTGCACTTACTGACCTGGCTTCTAAAGGCCTCACGCCATACGGCCCTACTGCTAAGAAGGCGCGGCTCGCAGGTGTACACGTACTAATTTGAGCTCGAATGTGTTGCAATGAACCGCAGGCTTGTGGCAACTAATTGGATTTGGCATCCAAAGGGCAAGTATGAGGATCCCGTCAGTTGGCAGGACCAATGATGGTACGTTCCTCACTACCACCAACTAGCAAACCTGGTCTATGTGTTGTCTGCAGTAGGCTAAGCGGCTCGAGCCCTTAGGTGTCGCCATGATAAAGATGGGCAAGCGCTCTACACGGCAGCAGTATGGATGCAACGGCGTATTGCAGCCAGGGGCACTACAACGGATGCAAGCGCCCTCTCGTCTTTGGCAGAGAGAGCACGTGAGTCGCCATCGATCCTGCAAAAACAACGTGCTCATTGAATCACAAGCAGCATCTCATGCATACCTAGGATGCAGCAGAGGACAAGCGGCCATCCAAAACAAGCCAGAGCAGCTTAGAGCTTGGCACCTCCTCTAAGAGGAGAGTGCAGCATTGGTACAGAGTATCCAGCCCCCTCTCTTAGATCATCACGTTCGCACGGCTCGATCCAAGCCCTCGCAAGCTAGCAAGTGCGTAGTGCGCCGGAGAGTCTGGTTGACTGGTCTCGCCTTACGAGTCGCATGGCTCTAGCAAGGGACTACAGATCCTGCTTCGATCTGTTTGATGCGCAATTGCAGTCCTCTTTGGACTCTTTGCGTACCTTGGGAATCTTTGCGATATCCACAACCCGTCCCTCGTCGTCCACAAACGTCTGGGGGTGCCAGATTGCGCAGGTCAGATGAGCCCACGTGCCTTCTGACGTGGGGATGAGCGGGCCGCCGAGTTGCGAGCACAACACGCATGCACCTGGACAAACAGCAAAGGCTTGAGTCCTAACGAGTTACTCCTTGACTTCGTCTTGCAGCAGCTTTAAGCTTCGGTTCTCTGCGGACAAAAGAGATATCTGATCAGCAATCAGCTTGCAATAATCTAGCTTCATTCTGCATGTAAGCGCTTGCCCCGACTTTTGTCATCTACTCCAACGCGTGAGATTCATAGCCAGATTTTAGTCGAATCCCCGAAAGGCCTTTGAACTGTCCTCGATGTTGTACACGGCTATCCGTGAACCGACCGTCTGCAACCACCCGATTCTGTCCTTCAGCATACTCCAAGATGCGCTTTTTCAGCGCCGTTGCCGACAAAGAGCTAGTCAAGTCTTCTTCTTTCAACCAAGCTCGGAACGCCTCCCCACTGTACAGTTTGTGCCAGACCTTGGACACTTTGGACACCGTGAAGCCGAGACAGGCCGAAGCTCTGATGAAGTCAGCGAAGGACGACCATGAAGAGTTTGTGCCAGACCTTGGACACTTCGGACATCGTGAAGCGGAGACAGGCCCAAGCTCTGATGACGTCAGCGAAGGACGACCACGAAAAGTTTGTGCCAGACCTTGGACACTTGGACACGATGTCGATCGCAACGGCTTTAGAAATCGAAAGACAGATCCACCTTGATCTAGATTTACAACGGCATTCATCTATTTGAAGGCGCCCTCTTTGTCTGATTTAAGAACGTCACTGCTGCTGAGTCGGTTTAGGGCTCGTCGAGCGCCCTCTCTACAAATATCCTCGGTCTGAAAGTCTATTATGTCTGCCGTTAGTCCACCAGATGTTGCCGCAGCATCAACGACCACGGCTTCGTCACTGCTCTGGAAGCGGGACGGAGGACGCTTTATTTGCCTCGAACGGCACTGTAACGAATCCGAAATTTGCAGCAAGAGCTTCATGTCGAAGCAAGCTTTGGAAGGTCACCGAGAGAGGATGGGATGCGAGCCTTACAAGCTTCCGAGCGATCGTGCGCCCTCGAAATATTGCGGCTTGGATTCCAAAGCTTTTCTTCAGTTGAAGCGTCAGAGCAACACCGCTGCGGTTTCGAAGTATCGAAGCACTCTTGATGGAGAACGCGCTGTCTTTAGAACACGGCATATGGCGAGGTACCGCATCATGGCTCGCAACGCGATCCCTGCTCCACCCATGCCGAAGGCACCGGCGTATGTGCGACCGCCCCTGTCGTGGCTCATCGCGGATGCCGAGCTTCTTCCTAGCAAAGCGTGGGAGATGTTCGATCGCGGCGAGGTCGTATTACACCATAAGACTTGGTCGCTGCACTTCCACCCTGACAAGGTCGAGGTACGCGCAAGTCATACCTAGCAACGGAGAGCGACACTAGCATCGACTCAGCCAATCTTCGTGTGCTAGGCATCAACAATGTTCCTCTTTGGACAGAGATTCGTGTACATTTTTAGTAATTGATGTACATCACTCGATATTTTGGACGGATTGGACAGGGATTCGTGTACATTTTTAGTAATTGATGTACATCACTCAATATTCTAGACAGAATTTTGTGTACATTTCTAGTAATCGATGTACATTGCTCAAAATTCAAAACAACTGGAAAAGGATATATGTACATCCGTTTTCAATAAATGGAGCAGCGACTGTGCACAGCAGGGGGCAAGAATAAACCAGCAATGTTCCATTCACCAACGGCGTGCACACTATCTCGCATTCCGGCCACAGCACATCAACATTCTTCTTTTTGCACCAGGAGGCGAGAGCAAAGACCCTGCAAACATTCGTTGAGCATTTTGCGTGCTCCACGGTTGGCGGCTTGAACCGAGACGAGACGATGGCTCGCTACGCTACGGAGCTCTTTGGCCCTTTGTACGACAGGCGATTTAAACCGGGCTCCATCGCCCAAAAGTCTGGCGGCATGCCGTGGAGGGCGTGGATGAACGAAGAATGCGCACTCATCAATGAGTACCGCAAATATCTTCTGGACTTTGGAAGATATAAGACGGAACTAGAGCGCGCGCATCGAGAGCTAGAAGAGTCCTGGAGGAGATGGATTGAGGAGAATCTTGAGCGGAGGTTTAAGAACTCCAAGGCGTACAAGCGATACGTAGCGCAAGATGCGAACTAGAGACGCTCGAGCCACTGCGAACATAATCTTGTGACCGTGGCTACATGCATCGATATCGACCGTTCATTGATCGTGCATCAATGCGTGCTTGTAAGCAATCGTTTCTGTTGCATGTGCCGGTGCCCATTCGAGTGCAGTAGGTGTCCAAGTGTCCAAGCTCCGGCGCAAACTTTCCGCGGTCGCTCATCGCTGACGTCATCGGAGCCAGGGGCTGTGTCGGCTCGAAGCTGTCCAAGTGTCCAAGCTCTGGCGCAAGCCTTCCGCGGTCGCTCATCGCTGACGTCATCGGAGCCAGGGGCTGTGTCGCTTGAAGCTGTCCAAGTGTCCAAGCTCTGGCGCAAGCGTTCCGCGGTCGCTCATCGCTGACGTCATCGGAGCGCGGACATGTCTCAGCTTCGCGGGGTCCAAGACGTCATCCATCAAGCCAAGCAAAAAACTACACTCGACACATTTGTTGATAAGATCATTATGGCAATTGTTGAATGGAATCATGATGGTTGAGCCTTGACAAGTTTAAGTATCGTCATTACACATTCAATCAATTCAACAAGTACCAAATACAAGTTTGCGGAGTATGTACAAATGGGATCCCAATGTAACGAGAGCATACGAAGCTCGTCCAACGTCCGGCTTGCATTGCTAGTCACTTTGTCATTACCATGTATCCTAACCCGCGCAAGCAACGGACCGTATCAAGTAGTGTAAGAGCACCCAATCCCTCGATAATAAAATTGCCGCGGCGAGTCGTTGTTCTTTGCCCTCTTATATCCTTTTGTTTCGGCTGTAGTCGTGTTTACAAGGACAGATTGCGTGAGCAGAAGAATGCCCTAGAACAATTGAATGAAGCCCAGTATATCTAGAGCACGCCGAGGGCTGAAGCAATCAGTATCAACCCAGAAGCTCTCATTACAGAGATAGATCTGCTGGCATACATGGGAGGTGGCCAAAAAAGCAGATGCTCGCATGCTGATGTCGAATCTCTCCTGAAGCGAAACTCAGACTTTTTCGGCCTAAAGCTTAGCCAGCTGAGATATGCATAATCTATCCCACAGCTTGAATGAGCCATAAAACGCCGGCTATGAGTTCTGAACCCTTTCAATGATAGGCTTCTCATCTTAGACAAACAACATATGTCATCACTGTGCATCAAGTGTCATCTTTCTATTCTACCAACCGAACACGGTGAGCTCATTTGCTCGACTGATGTAACCAGCAAGCCTTGGACATGCACAAAATTACAAGCAGGTGCTGCCGCTGTTGTCACTATAAGAGGTCTGGAGTTGTTGCTTAAAAATCGGTTAGCTTCTTGACATGAGGTCTTCATGAAGCTTATCCTTCTTATTCCACACAGTTCT